TAGTGAGTTAGATTGAAGATATACGTGATTTGAACATTGAACAACTTGCATTTGGGGGTTTCATGGACTTAAATTTTTGCATTCAGATATCTTAATATTTTTAGCTTTTTAAATTGGTTTTGTAATTTGTGGATCAAAATAGTTATAGTAGATAGGAACTACTGTTATTTTGGATGGATAGATAGATTTAGCTGTGTGGTGCATGAAAGATCAGATTTGTCAACTATCTGATATCGGATCTAACTGCATAATAAATCTCAAGGTTTTTATACTTCCATCTTCAGCGGTCCGTTAGTTCTTCCGTGTGGATCTCACGCTTCGCACAACGGTTGCACATCTCCACGCCGCTCCTCAACTCAGGTCGATTTTCTGACTCATCATAGTGTTATCCCTGATCCTCCGATCACATCCGCAACCGGTGAAAGTGATAATGGTGTTGTTAGTGCTGGACCTCGTCCGAACCACTCTACCACATCACTGAGCGGGCTTGCAGGTGTGGGAAAACTGCACCATAATTTTGCCCGTTTGTTAGCGTCGCTGGAACAGGTGTTGTTGGGCTACGCTCTACCTGAACCGTTTTTCACGTCGTGGTTGAATCAAAGCCTATATCAACTGATGAATTTTTTGCACGATCCTCGTCTACCGTTGCTGGAACTGCAGGTTTGTTTCTGTGTTGAAATTTTAAGTAATTTTTGAGGTTAGTGTCCAATGTCTACTTGCAGATCATGACGTTGCTTATCGACTGAAATTTCGTTTTATTTTTTACTTATTTCGTTGTTCGATTACACTGCTTGTATAGTCGGTTTGTGGCTTAGCTGTTTTCCAAGTTAAGCATGTTTTCTCTCCTAATCATGATTATCACAATACTGTCTTGATCAATTCTGGTCTCGACAACTGTCTCTGTATCCAGGTATGCATGATGAAGTTTAATAGCCAAATAAAAAAGACCTGGATCGCTATTTGGAATTCGAACTTAGTTGCACAGAATTAAAACGAAGCAGGCCCCCTGAAAAGTGTGCGGTACCGTTCGAGTCGTCCTGCAGGGATCCTGAAAGCACTGGCTTCGGTTATCAACTCTATCAAATATGCTGTCAGAAATAGTCTATTTTTCCTACCGTAACAGTGACTTCCGTTTCCTCCTGAGTGAAAATCTATTAGATAAAAAGCAGTTAAGCTATACTATGCCAACAAATGAACGGTCGAGTAAGATGCCGGCTCCCATTCATAGTCTACGGAACGATATATTCACACTGCGTATGCATGTTACCTTCAAAGTCGAAGTTGTGGCTACTGAGTTTGATTGATTTAAAATTTAACTTCGATGGATGAAAAAGATGAACCACTCAAATCTAATCTGATGGACTAATTGCAATTTGGTTTGCATCGCTTATGGGAATCGCTTTCCTGACAACGGAATCTATGTTTGGTAAGTCGAGCACATGGTTCCTTGTGCCAGGGAATTCAACAGATCCGTGAATGTTTGAGTTTCATTTCCTCTGCCCGCGAACAATATGATAATGCTAGACTAAAGGTTTTTGAGTGTATTTCGAATAAGTTGTTCTCTCCGCAAAGGTTCGTTTGGTTGAGGTTTCTCCCACCTGTTCGAGGATCTACCTGCTTGCCGAGATTCGCAGCGGATGGAAAACTGTGATGAGACTGACTAGCCCGCGTCTATGGTCGTTTGAGTAAAAGTCTTTTAACGTTTGGTTTGAAGCTAAAACCAGTTAGGTCAATTGTCAGACGCATTGATTTTTTCACCTTCACTGTATTTCATTAATTTCACAGGGTTTTGTCCATCAGTCTTGGTGTTTCCCACTTTTCCTGTTATTTTCGCCTATGCTTCGATCTTTTCGAGCTCTGTCACGTCTGTCTACTCACGAGTAGCTTGCTCATGAATACAGAATTAATTAATTGTTTATACTGATATTCAATCCTAACCTGGATTAGAACGTTTATGCACACCAACACATGGATTATACCGTTTAAGAAGCAATGCAGCTTTGTTAGATTGAATATCATTTGTTCGAAGAACAGAAATAATATATGTTGCATGTGGCAACCGGGATGATGGATGGGTTCATAATCGAGGGTTTGACTGAATTTCAAATCGGTATATTGTCAAACCTGATAAAGTATCATTATCCCCTCCTTCTGTATATGTTTTTCTCAGCCTGGTCAGTTGTACAAGCATCCTCTCTGCTTCCTAACCATATGATCTGTGCGTTTCTTCACCTTGACATCGCCATAAAGGACGTCTGATGTTTTATTTTTATCTTCCTACTGTGCCTTTCTGTCCTCTTATTTGACAAAGGATACAATTGCTCACCTTGCCGGTCGCCTTCCTCCTGTTATGGAACGTGATTTGCGCGCACTAGCTAAAATCTATGCCGGCCAAGTCACTTCAGTGATGGCCAATTTCCCGTCCAATCAGATATTGTGCCTGATAGACAACTACATGGCTCGTTTGAAGCGCAGTCAACCGTCCAACACTAATGCATCAGAAGGAGAATTGATAAAATTCCAACAAACAGTTGAACGTTTGGTCGACTTGGCCCAACGTTATCGTCAGGGCCTACGTGGTCACACTATACACGTTCTGTCACAATTATTGTTAGGTTATGTTGTGGTCGAGCGTCATTTTCAACACGGTAAGTACGCATGTTAACTGGTTGTCCTGGTGTTTGTTTTTTGGCTCTTTTCAATTTACGGGGGCGATATTTATACATTGTTGTGATCGTTGTGAACGTATACCGTGGTTGGTAGAAGTTTTTTAGACTTCGCTTCGTGAAAGTATCTTGGAAATTACTTGATGAACGCCTGACATGCATTACGGGAAGAAAATGAAAGTAACTTGCCTTTGTGCGAACACCTGTCGATGCCCCGTTGCACGAGTCTGGTGGAGGAAAACCGGAGAAGCAATTCTGAGGTTAGGTGAAGTGTTTTGGGTAATCGCGATCGCCCACTAAAGTAAGCGATCGACCTTCATAGATCCCGTTGGTTGGTGGCATGTGTTGCGCATATCACCGAGTAGGTTTCCACGGCACGCGATTTTTGCCGAGACAGGTAGCGAGTGGAAAAATGTTAAAGACGGTCATACTAATACATGGCATGAGGGTATGAAAAGTCTAACTAGGACACTGGGTCATATAGGTACAGTTAGGCTTCGTGGATTGGTACCCCGAGATCACGGAACCGGTAGTTAGAGACACTAAGTGATATGGTTGACTGTTGTAAACAGCGTTGTTCGTGCATTTATATCAATATCCTTGGACACCCAGTCTATATGCATTCTTTGTCTTCTCTTTGACTGCTGTCAAGATTCCAGTCTTCATCCTGCTCTTTTATTCAAACGGGAAGCCAAAATACGGCAACCAAAACCGGCATATGAAAGTGCGTGTTTAATGGTTAAGAAAACAGAATTAAAAGGTCATGCTTAGAATGCATTTCGACATTTGAATTTGTTACAGCTGAATTTTGAAATACGTTTTTACATAATTCAGTGGTAATTATATCTCTTTAAAGTCTGGTTTAATAAAAATTTATCAATTTTATCATTTCAGCTAGCGGACTTTTATATCGAAGTAATGGTATTTAGTGATAATGTCGGAAACACGCTTATATAGGTCTCACCGGTGAACACATTTTGTAGCCTACAGGGTCAGTTGTATGCTTTCTGTACTCGACAACTGACTTTTACTTTGATCTGTACATAGAAAGTACTGACAGTTTCTCACAGTTTCGTCCCAATCTCGTTTCTGTCCAGGTGCATTTGCCACGATTTTCGGATCAGAGTGTGAGGTTTTTCAGAACCTTCAATCATTGATATTACTTGCGTTTTGGTTCATTCATTCGTCCGTCTCTAACCCATCTTCGGATTATTATTTTCTACCCCTCAGGCCAGTATGACAAATGCACTCGACAACTACTGGCTCGCTGCAATAACTCCAGTGTTTGGGCTAGTGATTCGCTCAGTCAAGGTTTCCACGGTGATGAAATCGACTTGATTCCAGACGAAGATACTGAGGGTTCGGAAGAGACGTACAAAATCGCGTCTGAATTAGTTTCTCCGGCTTTACAGAATTTAATTCATCCGAAAACTATATCCGATATTGTCGCTGTTATTTTCTCACATCGCCAGCTGTCTACGAAGAACGCCCTAATTGTACGACTGATTGATCTTCTTACTGAACGTCGAGAACTGAGCGCTGCATGTGATTTGAAACTAAGTCTGAAGGCGTTGACTGAGCTCGGCGCGGCGGGTAATTCGAAGGTCGCTTTGTCTGCGCGACAACTTTTGATTTCTATGCAAACACCTTCATATGAAGTTCGGCGAAATCAGGTGGGTGGCTCAATCTGACGTTCTTTTGTGTGGTTCATGTTTCTCGTTTGTTCCGATTGTACTGTAGTGTTCACTTTGCTCTTCTAAGCTCAATTTACGCGTTGTTTTCATTATTCGGTGAACAAATAAGCGTGCTGTGTAACGGAAAATACTTTTCAATGTAATTTCATACAAAAATACGAGAAGAAGTCCGGGAACATATTTTTAACTTGTGAAAGTACATGATCTTGTCGATTCACTTTACATCTTTTGGTTACGTTTTTGCCTTAGGTCGAATCTATTTTCCTCTCTGCTGTCGACACCTTCGGCTATCAGTTTCATCCGGAACTTTTGAACAAACTTATTACATCAGAAACTGTTGTGTTCGATATTCTTTCCGACTTCTTTTATCATCCCAACCCAACGGTGGCCAGTGTTGCATTAGAAGTAAGTTGATGCATCAATACCGTACTGCTTTTTAGATAATGTATGTGGAATCTTATTATGAAGTTTCAGTATACCACATACCCCGAAAATCTATAAAATACTGTTTTGTTCTGTAATTACTAGTGGGAGTCGTCAAAATTACAGCTATATTGAACGTGTGACTGCTCGGGTCTAGTGATCTGTTAGAATCTGATAGGGAACTAACGAGTCATTCTCAGCTATCCAACCTTTCAGATCATCAACCTCAGAAAACTCAAAATTCGCCGGTTCTCGGATTTTACATAAACAAGAACCCAACCAGAACAGCGTGATTACTTCATCGTTCCTTTTTGAGTACTAATAATATATTCTTCCAAGTCTGATTTTTACCTAGTATACAACAAATCACCGCCCAATTCATTAGCGATTTTAGCGATTTTCCATAATTCCGTCTTTGCTAACATGTTACTTGATGTGAATCTCGAAAGAACAAGCTAGACATGCATTCCATCGACTATTTACCATCTTAAATTTTCTTGAAAGACTTAGACACGTATATTTATAGTATCGTCGGGTTTCTGGGCCAGTTGCACTCATCTAAATAACCACACGCTGGCAAGCATGACGTAAATAATTTCCTTTCTTTTATCTTTTATCACATTTCCAGGTTTATATTCGTCGATCATACACAGCCTATGAGTTGACTAGTGTGCAGCATGTTCAGTTACCCAACGGGGCTTCGTTTGTGGCGTTTCGATTTACATTACCCATGGCACAATCACTAAGCAGGTTAGTGCGGCTTTTGTCGTCTATACGGTTTGTGTAAAAAGTGACCAATTGTTTATTGATTCAATTGTGGTATTTTTTAACGTGTGGATGATGGTTGCTTGTCGCATTTTTTCTCATTTTCCTCTTGGCGTTCTATTCAGCGAGTTGAAATCCGTAACGTATATCTTATTGTGTACAAATTATTGTATTCAGTAAATCTTGATGTTGGTGATCCAAACATAATACCGGTTCTCTTATAATTATCAGACGTTTTTTCATTGTCAATTATCTCTACTTGATCCAAATTGACTATACATCTAGGTGATATCTAGCGCCATCTCCAGGGTACGTAAAATTCCTCCTTTGTTTCTTTGATAATATAACCTCGCAGTGACTGATGTGTATATCATCCATTATGATTCGGTTCCATTTTCACAGATTTGACAGTTTTTCTCTCGCTCTCTAGCATACAATCTACCTCTCGCAAATCAGCTCACTACCATGCATTGCAAACTCGTACGATGGAGGAACAAACATCAAATGCTACCCCGTTTGTTGCTGTTTCTGTTGACACTACATCCGCAAACGTGCTTCCAGACAATACGGTTGGTGACGCCCGAAACTCAAGCGGTCAAAATCACGATGCGGAAACAAAGACGACTACACTTCATGCGCGTGCCGCGTCCGAGGTTGATTCACATTTCACAACGGCTATCAGAACATCATCGAATACTGCATCTGCAAACACNGCAAACACTGTATCTGTTGCGGCGCGCAGTTTAGCCAGTGTGGACGCAGCTCGACCGATAGGCGAACGGATGGGTGGGATGGCTGCTTTTCAGTCGCTTGAAGAGTTTGAACAGTGAGTTTTCAGTCTAGTGCAATCAGTTTCAGTGTACACAACCACTAAATTTACCCCGTCTTACATCGGTTTTGGTTGCTGCCTTTTGGCTTCCTATTCTATCTACGAATGGGGAATGAATAAATGGGAGAACTAAAATTAAATATGATAGATCTATTTAGAAACTGAGTGAATGCACAAACGATTTTGTTGATAGCACTGTGCTATATAGCCTAATGATTACGTCGGTCTCGATATCCCGAGAGAACCAGATGTGTCGGTGACCCAATTCCATCATTCGCGACTGGAGTCAGTTAGCACGTACGTGCTGTGATGTGACCACGATTGGCTTGGCTGTCCTCGGGTGGTTCATCACAAATTCGTGCGCTTAACCCTTTTCACCATTTGATTGATCGAACAAATTTCGGTCTTCCGTTTTCAGACGGTTGTAAGATCGAATTTCCTGGGTCTTCCCCGACAGATTGAAACTGATAAACTTGGGGAAACGCAAATGTTACTATGATATGTTCTACTCACAAGTAGTAAGAGCGTGACTAATACATTTTCCTGTGAACACCTGGTATATTGCAGGTGCTTCGATGAGGTTATTGCTTTGTTTGTCGCAGCCTGTACGGAGGCGAAAACGATTCAAAGCTCTCTGTCTGAGCCATCCTTGTTTAATTTCGGTCGTGTATCTTTCGCCGATGGACACACCGGACACACAGGACACTTTGTCGAAAAGTCACGCTTCCCTCCAATGGTCACGTTCCAAGATCCACCCTATCAAACTGTAAGTTTTCCCGCGATCTACCATTATTTATATCATGGTGGTTGTTTTGGTCTTATCTTAGGTCATTTTTATATCCTATTTTCAGTCGTTCTGATCACTTCTTTGTTCGCAAGATGCTTTCATTTATAAAAAAAGTGAAGTCGCACTTCAGTATCTTATTGAGTTTAGCAAGTGATTTTGGCACTGGACTACATATTTTCTTGTTCTTCGTGCTCCTTTCGTGTAACAATGTATCTTATGTTCTGTTATGCTTCATATATGGGTTGTGTTTCATATTTAATTCATTCAGTTACCCCTACTTTTCTTCGCAATGATTATCTTTCCTCAGTTTCTGTTTGGGAAATCGAAGGTAATCATCCTCACTATATCACATTTGACCTTAACCTCATTGTGTTTGTGGTTTAATCTGCCGATATATCCAGGTGTATGTATCTCATCTATCCTCGTAGTCGCACATCCTTTTAACCTTCTTCCGTTATTTTTTCGGTATGTTGAGGTGCGTTGCTCTGATTTGCGCTCCCGAATGGTTGTTTATTCCTTTCTGTTATGCGGTATCCGTCTGAGACTTGTATTGTGCACTGCTCTCATGTTTTACGCATACATGACTGTCCAGGTCAACTTTCCATTCCGTTTTCGCCATTTTAACTCTTCACCGTGTATCTCTCCACCCGATGGTCACCATCGGGCTCTCATCACTCCGACTCGTGAATTTCATCGCATGTTCAGTCCATAGTCCCTGCAATACCTCAGTGCACTAAGCCTAAAACGGACATGGTTTTTGTCTCATTGTCGATCATCATTCATTTTTCGATTGTGTTCTGCTCTGAGCAAAATACAAATATCACAAAATTTTCTGTTTCAGGCGTTCATGCATACTTTCATATCATCCTTCCGAATTTCATCGCCCTCTGTTGACTTCTACACCGTTGTTCCAATGAAATAATGCTCCATTTACGTATTGGTCAGATAAGCAAATTCTTGTGTCATTTTTACTCAAATTATATTGTTTTGCAGATAGCGGATAACAGCAGTCTTCTGTTTGACTGTGAAAACATCGGTAGCCTCACTAAATATACAATTGTACAGTCAGTTTTCGATAAGTGAACTGGGGCCAATTCAAGGCTGTCTGAGGAATAACTACAACCTCCTGATCACCGCCGCCCACATCAGTGAATTAGAAGACATTCACTGATGTGAATCACTTCAGGAGAAGAAGTTTGACAGCTGCTGCCGTCCTAATCGGTGGATATTTTTTATATATGCTTCCTACATATAGAGGTTATTCCCATTCGTTTAGTATCAATGCAAGATGCATTCACGTCGAATTTTCCTTATTCCATGTTCATTGGATTGCGCCAAACCCGTATCATCTTGTGACCCAGATTGATCTTTTAAACTACGGTCCAACTTGTTCCTTGTAATGCTCTCCCAATTTGGTTCATCCAGTGAACACCGAATACTGTAGATTTTTGTGCTATACTGACTGTCTGTGATGGTGCTCTTTTACCGTTTTCCTGATGACTTTTCTTTTTATTACGAAGTACCACATTGTACAAAGTTCGACGTACCAGCTGTATGCAGGGGTACCGTAAAACATCCTCCTTTTCAATTTATTTAGCGGCACTCACTTTTTTTGATATCAAGACGACGTAATTACCCTTCTGTTGTTCGAACCCTATGTAATTCAGCCCTTGAGATTGTATAATTCTATTCGCTGGTTTTCATAACCACTCAAATCTTTTTGACTACCACTGGTATTCCTCTGTAGCGAAAAGTCATCCCCCCACAAGACATTTAAGTATCTAAACTCTTGAATTCAAATAATCGAACTGAATTAGTTGGGGAACGAATTAGCTACCTGGATATATCGAACAGCAGGTTTCCAGTCACAGCGACTGTTGGGAAGGTTGGTAACGATTGCAATCCAATAGCTGTCCCATAACCGGACTCCGTAGACCCAATGCAGCCCAAGGCGTCACATGGTCGAGCTCCATGATTTGAGCTGTCTCCAGATATACTTAGAAGAATCACGTGAGGGAGTCCCCATCACCATTCAAGCTTTGTACTTATGCCTCGGGCCTTTCGGTGACCGATTGTGAACTACCAGATAGTATAACCATTTTTTGCTGGAACGACTCTAAATGTTTCAGTTAGTCTCAGGTTGTGCGATTACTCCTAACTGTTAATCTGTGGTTGTTGGAAACCATTGTGTTACAGTTCAAAAAAATATCAAAACATAGCTCCACATTAAGTTTCCTTTGTTATTCACAATTTTAAAATCTCGTTGGTGTTTTTTACGAAACATTTTAACAAGATTAACCTTTTTGAGTTTATATCAACCATTAATATTGTAATCTGCACACCAGTTTGTTTCTTCTCCGTTACACATGATTGATCCCACCTAGACCAATCCAGATGAAGAGCCCATTCACACTCTTAATGTCGCCCTGCAACACTCCTCAAACTGGAGCGAGACAACAATTTCTATTGATGGTCCTTTATTCCACCAAACTCCGCGAAACTCGGATGCGAATTCGAAGCGTAACGCATCAAACGATCAGCCCGTTGCTGCAAGTGCTTCAGTCGATTTTCGTTCGCGAAGTGAGGCTGATGATGTGGCTCAATTGGAATCTTTCTGTGCTCGGCATGCTGATCAACTTCGTTCTGTCGGAATTCGCCGCATAACTTTCCTCATAATTAAAACGGTAAGTTCTTTTATTGCGATTGGTTCACTGTTCCAGGCGGATATGTGAAAAGTTTTCATTTCCTCGTACCGCAGATGAATAATGTTCAGTCGTCAAGCATTCCATCCTCATTGGGAAGTGAGATGAAATTGTCTTCTTTACTTATTCCTTTACTTGTCAGCGTGAATTCCCGAAATGTTACACGTTCCGAGCGCGGGACAATTATCATGAGGACCGTGTTTATCGACATTTGGAGCCAGCTTTGGCATTCCAGTTGGAATTGAATCGGATGCGTAAATACGACTTAGAACGATTGCCCTGTCTGAATCGTCGGATGCACTTGTATCTGGCAAAGAGCAAAGTGAGAGTTCTTTTTGTTTCATTTGGATCGATTTTATGTTTGATGACCTTGATGAACTTGATGATCAAGCGGTAATACGGGTATAATTTCTTTTCAATGTCCGAATTGGTGTTTTTACAAGTTCTTAATAGTTTTCAACGCCACAACTCGAATTCAAGCAATCACCAAAGAATAAGACAAGTATGTCTGTAGCTAGATCCAAGACACTTGAGATGGATGTACGATTTATTGGAGATCACATATCTCCCTGCTTTTCGCACTCACATAGTCAAATCAGTACTAGGGAAACAACTGATCACATGAATAGAACAATTAGGAATTTTTAAACAACCTCGTATCATTTTAACACAGTAATATTCTACATTGTCAGGAGATAATAACAAATGAAACTGAATAGATGACCGATGTCGTGCAGATTGATCCGTATGGAACTGGTATCCATACTACTATTTGCGAAACTCAGCCATTTCGTTCAGTCTATATTTAGAGACAGTCAGTTGTAACATGAATAGATACGGTTTTTTTAAGCATGCGTGTGGCCACACGTGTATTTTGCGTTCTTCTCAGTGTTGAGTTAGTTGTATGTTTCAAGATGATGAATGATCGTATCAATTTTGGTCATGAAGGCTGTTTAGTCAGAGAATGGAGTTTAAGTTCATGTCTGTTTCCTTTGTTTGTTCACACGACAGTTTCCTGGTGATTTCATGTTTTTTTGAACTGCAAATAAATAACCAACCACCTTTTACAATTCCATACGAGCTTCCTGGGCGATACATGCTGCACGAGAATGCAATCAAGGCAGTTTGATACTTTCAAAGGTAGCTTTTGTTCTGCTCCCACTAACCCCGGGAATTTGAGACACTTCAATTTTTCTGCCTCTGTTCTTGCAGTGTACATGATGCTGTGACCTTTGTTTGAATTGAAAAAAATTTAGACTACCACTTCCGGCGAAAGTTTCCTTTGTTCATTTACAGTTTCCGTGACCTAGAAAAAGATGCATTGAAATGTTAAACAGGTGTCATATCTGAAAAAGGCAGTCACTCTCAGTATGCATGGTCGAACCTCGCTTACCATGACTCTTGTCTCTTCTTTTTACACTTCTTCAGGCTCCAGTCGGTCAAACTGCTGTTGACTATCGGTTTTTCGTCCGTTGTATCATTCGGCACGCGGATCTACTTTCTCGAGAAGCTTCATTCGAATTTCTGCAATCGGAAGCGGAACGGACGTTACTGGAAGCGATGGACGCGTTAGAATTGGCTCAAACACATCCAGATGCGAGCTACACAATAGGAAATCATATATTCCTCAACTTCGCCCCTATTCTTCTCTTGGAAGATATTAATTATTTGAAATCAACCATCCGAAAAACGGTGCTTCGCTATGCACGTCGATTTATTCGCCTGCGTGTGTCTCAGGTTAGTAAACATCTGCTAGACGCGTTCCGTCAGTTCAGGTTTGCATGCTAGCCTCATTTATTTTCTGCTTCGTTGGCACTACTTTGTGAAAAAGATTATTATACCGTGAGTTGTTTGGCACACAGTCAAGAATCAAATGCTTTTAAATTAGAGGATTAATAATATAGCTTTCGGAGCCTTTAACTTCATTAATATATAACCCAACGAAGTGGATCCCTTGGTGAAATTACTGAAAACCGTTATTACAGTTTAGCGTACTTTTGTCAGGTCCTCACCTCTCTTTTCAATTGAGCGACACACTGAGGTGATCAAATGGTTAACATCAACTTTCTAATTGTTCATTGTCCTTATTTCATGGTTGGCCTAGGTCTTTTCTATCACACAACTTACTGCGATGGGCAGCAGACGGAGAAAGCCCCATAGTCACAATGACCTGCTATTCAATGATGGAAACCAGCAGCCCAAGCTCCGGAACTTGGAGTAGAGAACCACATAAGGCCCCGCTAGGTTAGATGTGTTATTAAACAGAATGTACTTGATATGTCACCACCCTTTTCCATGAAGGTTAATATTTAGCAAATAAAAAGAAGCGAAGATTTTTATAAGTTTTCCGCAGGAGAATATCAATATTCAAAAGATACCCGCTTTCAGTCGAATGCTCCTTCAAAAGTGGTTCGATTTAGGCTGACAAACGTCCAGATTAATCATCTGTAGTATTAAGAATTTGTGGTTGACCAGAATTAGAGTTTATTATTTTTTAAACACTTTTTGTCTCAGTATACTTCTTAGGCACTTAATTTTCTTCATTTTGCTTGTCCTTAACTTATGTAAGCTTAGATCCTCGCAGTTCAGTAAACATTCACGAGTCTTCACACCAAATAAAAAATATGAATTCAGAGAACGTAACGTGAACAATTTCGCAACACTTCTATTCATGCCCACTTTGTCAAGTAATTAATTAATAACTTGTTCCTTTTCGGTTATGGGTCGAACCACCTAGGGTGCAGAGGAATTCTAATGATATTATTACAAGATGGTAGATGCCAAAAGGAAGAGCGTAGTCAAATAGAAACTACAAGAAGTTAAATCAGTCAGTGCAGAGGGTCATCTAGAATCCTAGTGGCAAAGTTGATACAATTATTAAGTTCTCAGATTGATGAATCAAAAGAAATCAATGATACATGGCTGATTATCATCAAACCACGACGAGTGGTTTTTAACTCTAGCGTTACCAGTTTACACAATGGATACCCTGTTTAACGGACATGATTGAATTATACACATATAACATTCGAGCAGAAATGTAAAACAAGTGATGTTGAAACACTAGATACAGAAAAGTACTATGTGCGCATAGTATGAGAGTGGTTCTACGATTCCCCTCAAACGCAGTAGGGAAAGCGCTGATTGGCGGTTGGTTACGAGGCATTTCGACCGCTGTACTTTGTTTTTAGCCGTCGATCGAAGCAGCTTAGGAGTAGTGTTCTGGCTACAGCGGTAGAGATGAGAAACCACCTACATTCCCTCCCATATGCTCCCAAAAATTCGTAAGAACCTTCGGTCCTCCATGGCCAACACCACACAACAGCCATTTTTCCTTCCCCCCTAATGACCCTAACCAATGCGTGTGAGTGATGACCAAAGTGTGAACAACGTCGGGTCATGAAACTGAGATGTTGATTATCTCCCTTCCCATTTTCCATGAGTTCTCCCCCCCCCTCCTCTCCTACTAAATAGTTTGATAAATCTGGTTAAAATGAATCACTGCTAAGTGACGCACTCAGAATCCTATGAAATACTAATAACACCGGGCTCCTCAAGTATGCCGAAGAACTACCCATTCAAAGTATCCTTTTCATCCGTGTAAATGATATGATTGGCTTATCACTCTTGTATTATCTTGGTAACAAACGAGTTTAGTGAAAGAAATGAATCGCGATCTTTCTCGGCATAAAATCCGGTATTTTATGACCATCTATTGGTGATCACTTAAGCTGTTTTCTTTACGTGTACAGAAACAGTGAGGTGATCCAGGATACACTGTGCAAACTTGCACAGTTAGTTCGTTCTGTTGTGACCCCAGGTTTCTTATGCAATTCAGCCTTCTTAACGTTTTTCGCTCCTTCAGGCTGAAGTCAAACTCCATATCCGCTTTCAACCTTCCGAACCAGTCGTGTCGGTGCGTATCTTCCTTCACGACAAAGAAGGTTACAATTTGGGTCTAGATATTTACCGTGAAGTTCTACATCCGGCTACGGGGGAGATTTTACTCTGGTCGATGAGTGCACCACGAGGTCCGTTACATGGCCATCACGTCGCATTACCTCATGAAAACAAAGATTACTTGCAGTTGAAACGGTTCCAAGTGAGTGTTTGATTTCAGGGAGACGAAATTTGTGCATATTTCTTTTCCGGTTCTGTATGACATCCTTCTGTTAAACTACTTCACTTGATAAGTTCTCTTTTCACGCATGCTCATAATCNACCGAAAAGTCGTTCATAATAATGACAATAAAAGATAGCAAATGTATTTTATATGAATGTTGCTTCGTCTTTCCTGTCATGGGTGTTTCATATTACTTTTTATTCCTTGTAATGCGCAGTCGTCGTCCATCTGACCTGCTGTGTACACCGATGTAGGCTGATGTTATCATTCATCGTGACTTTGTGTTAGCTGAAACATTCCATAGTCACTGGGTGCCTCCAATGATAATTGAGCACTTATTTAATTACTCACCTCTCAAAGACGCTCCCTCCTCTCGGGTAACCGTAAAAGTGCCACATTTAAAAAACGGAATGTAATTAATATGTTATGATACAAATTAGGTTTTCAATTTTCAAAAAGCATATTCAATAGTTATTAAAACAAACCAATAATTGCATGACGACAATGAATTGATCATATATGGAAAATACTTTCAAAAATAAACTGAATAAGTTGGATAAATAATGAGTAGATTTTCGACTGTATGATCAGCATGCAACTCATCTGATTCCCAAAACAAAGTAGTGTGGCCAATGTGACTCCAGTTTTTGACTGTCCAAATGGTGGACCTCCATAGATTACGTTTGTTGGTGCGTGTTGCATAATCTGATTGGATGCCATTCTTCGATTCATTTATACCTTTTATTGCCCCACTTTTAGATGTTTACTTACACATACTCGTTGGTGGCTTTAACCATACTAGTGCTTATCCTCTTATCATTATATATGGCCGATCTTTGTCACTCCCCAGCAGGAGTTAACCCTATACTTGACAGAGCATTGACCAACCACCCAATCCTTTTTCATTAGCATTGAAAGCACCAAATTCCACCAGCGACCACCGTTTACTTTTAGTTCGGCCTAGAGTTTATTCATACTGGAAACAGCAAACGCTTGTGAAAAGATATCAAACTTTTATGTGGAGGGAAGAAAGTACGGTAGAAGCTGAATGTTAGTGTAGATGATCTCATTGCCGCATTCCTGCGCCAGTCGTCGGACATTCTTCTTGCCTACTCGTTACATAGTGTTATGTGGAACCATTATCAAATTAATTAGTTTTAATTCGTCCTCAGCTGTAGGCCCGGATGGCTTGACTCCGGCACTCTTCAAATTTGTTACCGCTTCACTAGCTGGGGCAATCCCTCCAATTATACTATCCCAGACTGTTGGACGGCGGTCAAATTTTTACCCATCCCCAAAGCATCTAGATCTTCTATTCTCTCCAAACGTTTTCCTCCCATAGCATTAACATCATCAGTTGTCAAGTTGACAGAAAAGGCTGTCATCAAACGCCTTCAACGGTCTATAAACATTCCCAGTGATCCGTTACATTTTGCCTACGAGCCTTATAGATCCACTATAGACTCGGTCTCCACCGGTGTTCATTTTATCACTTAGTCTTTGAACAAACCTGTTAAATGTGTTCGGTGTTTTTTTCTTGACTACTCTTCAGCATTTTATTCTACGCCTCGATCAAAGTTGTTACAGAAACTGGAATCGTTTGAATGCCCAAAACAATTATTAGGTTGGTTGTCTAACCATTTTACTGATTGAGAACAAACTACTAGTTAGGAAAGATTCACCTAAACCTCTACTCAGCAACTCGGGAGTCCTTCAATGAGCTATGCTATCAACATACTTATTTTTCACGTTCATTTTTCATACTCCTTGTGTTTCCCCTGCACATATTTTGAAATATGCGGATAACCTGTTGTGCCAACCCATTTCTCCTTACTCTGAACTAAGCTCCTTCACCGACAATCTTGATCAAATTCAGTCATTCCCCTGTTTGTTGGGGCCAAAGTTAAACCCCAGTTTTCCCTTTATCTGTATTTTTCCAAGACAGCGTTTGTATGGCTGCAGCCCCCTTCATGAAAGTTGACTGTACATTTGTATATTCAGCAAATAGAAAAATGAAGTAAAAAGAAATCTATTTAATGTGTTCAATGGTTATATAGTTTCGCCCGCTATTTATACCCAACAGACCCCATAGTGATAGAGAACCATCCTTTATCTGGGGTGAACTCTGTCGACTATGTATAGATAGCAGTCTTCGTTGATCAACCCGCATCCACAGCTGCATTGATAAGCTGCAATGCCTATCATTTCAAATTCGAAAACTCAGGCAGTGTCGCGCATCCCTGCCGTTGTTTATCTGCGTGTTTTCCCTGGCTAACTAAGTCTTGCGCCACGGTCTCACTATTATTAGCCGCCTTCTATTCCTGTGAACAAGTTAACTGTGAAACTTCCAGTGTCATACAACTTCCTATGTAAAATTTGCGGAAGGGATTCTCACCGATCCTGACCATCCATAGCATGCAGAACTGACACGCTGTCGTTCCCATCCCTCTACACACTCTCGATTCCACCTAATTTCATCTCGTATAAACGCTTACTGAAGTTCACGAATTAAGAGTAACAAATGAAATTCGTTTTAACTTTGGACCGTGAAATGTGCCTTTGTCTGTAGACGATTTTCCCCGTTGAGAATATGTTCTCTGTGGCGGTTGGTATGTATAGTTTTTAACTGAGTTGTAATCATCGGTGATGGCAAAAGATAACACAATATTTACTGATAAAAATGATCCTCTGGGCGCATAAAGCTTATCTTGGTTTGACTTGCAGCTCTAAAGCTGCTCATTGTTTAAACCTCAGCAGCCGACCAAAGCTAGTGCAATTTACAGTCGGTAATCTACTATACCAGCACTTGAGCACAATACGGTTTTTTCGTCCTGTGATGTGGATCCGATATGCATTGAGATTGACCGGGCTGTTTCATCGCTGCATCGGATTTGCCAGTTGCATCACCCCGCTAAGGCCTTGAATCTTTAGAATGACCAAGTTAACTTCTACTGTACATAATAGACGCCTCATTTTCGCACACAGGTCAGCGGTACCAAGTGTCATAGATCATCCCGAGTAGTGATCAGACAAGGACTAGAGGTTGCATGCATCGCATGAAGGGTTAGAGGGGAAATTATCTGCGCGGGTTTGCTGGCCAGAACAAAAAGATAAAAGGAAACGAACGAGAAATCTCGCTGCACATTTCATGCAGCTCAGTGATTTTTTTCTACTTACGTGACCCCTTCAGTGACGTTTGTCACCTGCGGCAGGAAGCTCATACGTCCGATGAACTTTCCGCATACTATACGTTTGCTCATTGGATTCCAGTTATCTCTCCGCAGAGCTGAGTTAGGTTGCACTATTCGCGAAATCCCCCATACCATATTACCTCGAATGTGAATGCGAAGCATCGTGCTACTCGACAGGACGGACAGGTAGTTGCATACACCGACCAGGAAACCCATTCCATCTTCGGTCACGTGATCAAAGGTCATTCTCCAGTTTGACCCCTCGGCCCACTGGAAATATATGCGCCCTGAATCACATTATATACCACCACCTTTTGCCAGAAGCATCAAACACAAACAACCTGCGTCGATCCGACAACCCGAGTGACAGCAGCTTCCTATCGATTGGCCGACCGATAACTTGCCCTCTCCCTCTGCCTTTCCAACTGATAAACAGAAGTATAGGATGACCGAGTGTGTATATTTTCATTGTCACGTACGTCTGAATCCAGACTGTGTACCAAAGAAATCGTTCTACATTATTATTATGAAAAATAAAAACGGTCCACGATTTGCATTTGAGCGGAATACTGCCAGGTTGCCCAGGCCGAGGTAGGTGAATTTTCTTGAGGAATCCACAACCGGAGCGTTTGGTTAGCCACATTCGGACCCGCAAGGCAGCGGGGCGGTGTGCGAAAACCGCAATCCACTGACGACTGGTGTTGAGTTCATTGGATCGTACTCCCGGTGATCCCTGCCATAATGGGGAAGGTGTATGTGGTTCCAATGCCTCCTCTTGGTCGGCTTAGAATCTGAGATTTTGGCCAACTCTCCTAGGTGGACTACCAGGCCGAGTGTGTGCTTTCAAGTGATTGGACGTGTTTCCTATATCGTTTATCGTGATTTATACTGATCAAGCAATAGTAACCTGAAGAGAGGAAACGGTAACCATTTATTGGTTTACTAGCTAAAAAGTCATTTTTACGCTGCTGCATTTTTACTTTGTTCCACACCTCCACGTTGGTGAGCGTCAGGAACATACATGCTTACCACTAAATCATTTTGAGAATCTGAAAAGAATCCATCCACTATCCTCAATTATCCGTGACGGCGGTTTTCGTTTCTGTGAGCCATCTTTTCGTGTACATTCAACAGCCACTCGGATCATATAAATTTGGTCGCTCATGCTTTTCGGAACTTCCGGTAAATACAAGAAAGTGTCTCCCGTTTTATTCCCCATAGGCAACGAAGGTTTTATGAGCGCCTTTCACCTCGAATCTAAGCGGTGTTTGTAGAACTATTGATTTCTGACTCCCTCGTATGCTTTAGAACACAAGTCCGAAGGCGAACAATTGTTTCCCAATGAGTGAATAATTCCGATAGATTCTCTAGAAGAACAGAGATGCGGCGAACAAGCTTGCTTTCAGTGCTTATCTACTGGCCAATTACAGCACATTCTATAACTCAGGGGAATAACATGGGATACGGTCAAATCAGGGTTTTAGTATGTGTAAAATGGAAGTTCAGAGGTTGGGAGGGAGGGAGGGAGATGTTTTAACACCGACCGCACAATTGGTGATAATCCCTTGCGGACTGTGAATGTTCAACTGAAGTGTTAGGACTGGCCACTTCGGACACGGGACGGAAAGCGAGGGAAAGGGATTGAACGAACTGTTTGTGTGCACATAATGGGGG